TATATATATATTGGTAAGCACATTCCCTCTTACACAAATGTAGAAAGTGTATTATTGTATGGGTTTGAAATATGGAAACTACAATGAAGATAGTAAGCAAATTACAGTCCTTCATCAACAGTTACCTGAGGAAGACCAGGACAATCTACTTGCTGGATACTATAAGAAACACAAATGAGGGGAACCAAACAACAACCAATTGACAGGGAGATTAAGAAAAGAAGATAGAAATGTACTGGGCACACACTTAGAAAGTCAGTCCACAATGTGACAAAACAAAGCCTAAGATGGAATCTCTTGGACAGGAGGAAGAAAGGAAGGCCGAGATCCACTTGGAAAAGCGACCTGGAGGCAGTTTTCAGGCATATGTGGAACAGCTGGTTGGAGGTAGAGAGGATCACTCAGAAAAGAGACAGGTGGAGAGCCCCTCTTGGTATCCTATACAAAATATCAGGGTGAAAGAAGCAGACAATAAATATGACATTCCTTCTTTCCCACCAGAAAATCTTCCCTATTTTATTTTAAAGATTATATTCTAATCTGACCAGATCGTTACATTCTCCAGGCAGATTATTTCTTCCTCTTTAGACAAGATACTTTAACATGTCCACAATTACAAGTGCCCAGACACTTTAGAAACAGAGTAAAGTAACACAAAGAACTGGTAAAGAAACACATTGAGCTAAATTAATTTCCAATGGAAAAAGACATAAAGAACAACCACAACTCACTCACCTGTAATTTTAGTTTGTATGTCAGATGTCATCTCAATCTTGCTTCATCCCAGTGTCAAAAGAAGCAGTGTTCCAAAAAATGCACCACCAAACAAAAATTTAGTCGCACCCGAAACACTCATTTTCAAAGTTATTTGGCGGTGAAAGATTTTGACGTTTTCGAAAGTAAAAAAGAAAACACCTCCCCTCCCCTTCAGATTCTGCTCAAATACTGAAGTATCAAAAAAGTTTAGACAAATCAGGTCCAACCTGCAATAGAACACTGCTATTTTTCACTATTATTATTTGTATTAGCTATTCACTTTTGAATTATGGAGTTTCGCCCTCCAAAATTTTTATGGTATCGTGGGGGATCTAAAAAAGACTCATTGCTTTATGCCCAAATGTTATTAAAATCACGGCATGTGAAATTGAAACAATACTTCCCCCTCCCCCCGCCTGTTTGATGTTAGCTCAGTCAGTCTCTCTTCATGAATGGAAAGACGAGTGTTGGGCAATTCCTATTATTACCCAAGCAAACGTTAGAACACTCAGAAACATTCTCGGCTCCCAGGGAAGCATGGAAGGCAAGCTGCCGATTGAACATGCTCAAACACTAGGAAACTGACAAGATCTTTCGCTGTCATTAGCCGGTTACCCATTCTCACCTGGGTGAAGAGGGGACACAATACTGGGCCCCTGACATGATTTGAACCCAAGAACTTACAGAGTTGTGAGTCCATGAGCCTAACCACAAGGCCACCAACACCACTAATATTTTTAAGCATCACACTCACTGTTGTTAGATGATGGCTGAGGCTAAAGTAAGACCTGAGTCAGGAAAGTTAAAAGTCACTTGAGGAAAATGATCTACTTTCTTGGATTCCAGAAAGACTCACTGAATGTCAGAATATCTTTGGAATATGCAGTAGTCTCCGACTAAATGAACGCTATACAAAAGCATGCTCCACCCAAAACACGCTTTCGTCATATGATGGGTTTTTTTACCATATAATTTAGACGTACAAACGCACAGTCACTCCTAAATGCACACTCCGATCCACGAAACCCGCCAACAGGTAAAGCTGGACCAGGGGAAATTTTCGCTACAGCCTACACAGCTGGCATAAGACAAGCCTAGAAAACCGGATATTTGGTGACACTGCCCCTCACTCCGGACAAAGAGAGAGACCGACAGTGTTTTCACACCCAACTTTCCACAGACACAGATCGAAATCGGGAAAATCAGTGTGCCTGAGATTGGGGGCAGAAAAACAGGATATCTTGACTAAATCAGGATGAGCGGCAGGTTTCATTCCCAAAGCATTCTATATCTATCAATTACTGAACAGAACAGGTGGAAACACCGCCCGATTACTACCGATCTAAGATTGCGGACAGGCCCGGCCTGGGGTAACAGATGAAGAAGTGCCCGTAGAAAGCATTTTAAACGCTGTGACAGGACATGATCTCATACTGTCGTTTCAAATGAAAGGGATTAGCTTTTTCTCTTGCCAAGGAAAGCAAGTAGTTTTGGTGAACGAGGCCATTAGACTGCTGCTGCACTCTTGGACAGACCAAACATACTATCAAACAAACTAAAAATCCTTCCATGGTTGTTTGTATAAGCCCCATGAGCTTTTGGCTAATTTCCGCCATGATAAAATTTTTTTTTAATGTTTTCACTGCCTAAACCTTCTGACCTTATCAATTATTTACCGCCAGTTTCACAGGAACGTAGTAAGTGAACCTAGTAAGTGAACCTAGTAAGTGAACCTAGTAAGTCAGACATTCCTCCTCAACTCACTTTTTCTTTGCCACCTCAGATCTAAGGTTGGCCTCAGTTGCCTTCTCACTAAAGTGAGTCTGATGTTAAAAAATATTAATCGAAAATGCCTCAGACTATAGTCTAAAGAAAAGGATAAAAAAAGACTTACTTTACACGTATCCATGTGGAAACAGGTGTTCAGAAAGGAACAGTCGCCTAGAGACTCTGAGGAAGAAATATTACAGACTTTGTATACAAAAACAGTTTAGCAATAAAGAAATATTAAAAATCAACCTAAATCACGTCTGATACATGATATATCAGGTTCACTACTCAAAAGAATTGATAAAATACTTTCAGAAGTGGTGAATGTGAAAGATGATATCCAAAATTTTAGAAAACTGAATGATTTTAAACTTCAATTTGTGATGACAAAGAAAAAGGTAAGAGTAGAGAAAGAAAATAAAGGCACATCTTAGATTTGATGAAAGCAAAAAGTATGGTCCAAACTGATAAAGACACATTAATGACTGTCCTTACATTCTCTCTCCACTTGGGATGAAATTCATTGGTCAAGTGTCAGCTTGTCACAGATATACTTTATAATGTGTTGTTGTTATAAATCAAGAACATAGGCACAGATCAAGGCCGTGTAATAGAAGGAGAAAAGATATCCTACTCTCTCTCTCTTGCCCTTTATAACTCCTCGTGTGGTTCTCGGGGCCCAATCCAAGAGACAGGGGAGCAAAGAATAGGAACACAGTATCCGTACTGCGCATGTTGTAGATGGCAACTAAGGTCGGTTGGGCAAAGGGTAAGTAGCCCTTTCCCGTAAAACAAAAAATCAGCTACAAAAAAGAAAGGAGCAATATATCCTACACCAGAATGCAATTTTAATTTACCATCTGTGTGTTTCTTGATAATCTTCTTGAAATGCAGCCGCTTGCAGTTGACACCCTCCGGCCCTGTTCTCTGGCACTCCTCTCTGGTCCCATACTGGCAGAACTCTTGTAACTGCGGTCCTGAACAGTGGGAAATAACTTCATACAATAAACATTTAAAGATAAAAATATAAGTTGTCTTTTCCAGTAAACACTCACATTAGAACCCAGTCCAGCTAAGAGCCCACTTTCAACGTGTGACCAAAAAAAATCATTTCTCTATAATTTGCGTTACAAAGAACCAATTTAAAAAATAGAAATCCACCTGAGATTCTGGTTGTAGTCAAGGCAATAAAATTTTCTGAGCTGCATCCCCATACTTTGCACACATCACAGCAGTCAGGAAGCGGTACTTTAGTTCGAGGGCAGCCAGCACGCCGCATCTCATAATCTGACTCCGGTCACCGGGTCATGAACTCGTGGCCAGGGGACTTGAATTCCCTGTGTCCAGCTTTCAGCATTGTCCATTGTTCATTTCGTTTTTGGGACAATTAAACTCACAAAATACGCCTATGACTTTACCGTCATTACATTTTGCCCGTTTGGAACAAGAGAGAATTTTCGCACTCACTGAAAAAAATGCGAAATCGTATGAAATAAGGACAAATACAGTTGAACTCGGAATCAACGAGGTCGCCGGATTTTAACAGCCATGACATGCAAAGAGGGCCTCTTCAAGACAGGACAAATACATCAACTATTGCGGGGGAGTGGAGGAATCTGCACTCTCACACCTTCTCTCCACTTGTTTCAAATGGCAAAGCTGTCTTTCAAGCACACTGGCTCCTCGACATATGCAGCCAGAAGAAGCTAAACGATGCCATGACCAGTAAGTTCAGGTCATTTTTGACGATGGAGAAACGAGTGGAAAGGGAAATTGAGATAAGGGAAAGGGGACGTTATGGATTAGAAGACAGCCAAATCTACACATTACAGACACATTTACACAGAAAGATTTTATAAGCACACATGTGAGCTCTGCTGGACTGGTCAACTTGTTCATTTTGGCTGTTAGGGTTTAAAAAAATGTTAGTTCACTAATCATTTTGCGAGTGCCACTTTACATAGTACTCCTGTAGGCCAGCGATCAAACAAAAATATTTCATAAAGAGGCATACATAGGATCACTATAATAAATGATTTACAGTCACCTTCCCTTCCAATTGCTCATTTTGAGACAGTGACACCATCCTGCCCTCACTTTTCAGTGTTGTCGCGTAGTTTTTCTCCTCCAACCAGCCCAACAAAAATTCTACATCAAATGTGAGTATCAAAAAGTTCTCAACCACTAATTGTTGGACAGTGTTTTACAGGCATATAATATATTATATTAAAGAGTGGTGTTTATGAAAATAGAGGTTAACTATTTTATATTTTAAGTGTATGCTGCAATTCATCTAATATCTATTAATATAATATAGTACGGCAGAACATGACTATAGCGCCAACCGCCACCCCTACAACAGGACCTTACCGGAATCCCCTTTTTTTGTCTGTGTAAACTCAATTAAACTGTGCTAGGGTTTAACAGGGCAAGGAAAAGCCTGAACTTGTATACAGTGGGAGAGATCGAGCGAGCTCTAGCTAGGGGAAGGGGGTTGGGGGTGGGGGGCTGTAAGTGGGCTCCAAACAGGCAGTCAGCGGTAGGGCGTTGTGACTGGCCAGTCCAATGATGAGTGAGGTGGGGCAAGCGGCAGAGAGAGATGGTGTGGAGAGACGTGTTACGTGAGCCACTCAAAAAAGTGATATGCCATAGCCTTAGGCCAGGCCAAAAAGACAGTAAAAGAAGAGGAGAGCATGCAGTGTGTGATTTTTCGGTAATTCCCCTTTGCATTCATATTACGGGAACTTGCTTGCAGCAAGATTTTTCTCCTGGAACTAAAAGTCCGGCTATAGTCATGTTCTACTGTATACTAATAATAATAACTGCATTTATATAGCGCATATCCATGCTCAAGAGCTTGCTCTATGCGCTTTACAACTATTATTACCCCAGCAGACCCTCTGAGAACACTCAGAAACATTCTCGGCTTCCGCGGAAGCATACAGTGCAAGCTGCGGATTTCACGCGCTCAAACACTATCAAACTGACAAGATCTTTCACCGTCTATAGCTGGGTACCCATTTCCACCTGGGTGAAGTGAGGAAAATTTGTGCAAAGTGCCTTTCCCAAGGACACAACGTCGGGCCCCTGACGGGATTCGAACCCACGACCTTACGGTTGCGAGTCCGAGAGCCTAACCACTAGGCCACCGACGCCACTATATTGTAGTGTTAATGCACATAACGCAAGAAAGCAATTACAACAGTTACATTTCTGACTTATTCTTCACAGTTCCTTTATCCAGAAAACCCACTCATACTTCAGTGTAGTCAATCAGAGCTGTAACTGTAAGGTATATATACTCGCTCTCTAGTCAGTACTTCACTAGACTTGACTCCTTTCCCCATCCACAGCTAGTTGAGCTAGTCAACAACCAACAGTTCAAGAAGCAAAATAAAGGTCCCTAAACCTGCGAATCACGAGGAATGTGAGAGCTCACCATGATATCTATAAATAATTTAGATAACTTTACCTCCTCTAGACTTGAATTTTTCCACCAAGTACTGCTCCTGGGAAAGCAAGATTACAAAGAAATGTGTTACAAAAGAAATATCATTTCTACATCAACAACAATTACACAGTACGAGTAAATCCTGACTGGCAAAATGGAAGATTCGACTGCAATGTGTGAGTCAGTAGTAATATATCCAAAAGCTTTGTTCCTTAATTAACTGAATGTGATGATCAAATTATTTCAGTTTATATTGTTTTCAGGCAGAGTGAAGATGAACCTTAATTGAAAATGTCAACACATATGCCTCCATACAGTACCAATAAGTTACACAAACATTTAATAAATACAGTCAAACCCGTGTAAAACGGCCACCCATTACCAAGAAGAAAAGTGACCATATAACACAGGTGGCAGTCTTACTGTCTTAGGCAGGACTGGTCAAAATGAAGAAAGAAAATCATTCTCTTCTGAGGTCCAAACCAGGGCTGATCTCACGCTTTAAACTGCCGTAGGGCTAGTTCAAAAGGGATTTGTGTGTTGTTGTTTAGTTGATTTGTTTTTTCGGTTAGCTTTCTTTTTGTTGCTTACTTTGTGCAAGGGTAAAATAAACTAATTATTTTGTAAGTAAGATTATGAACACTGAGTGCCATGGTAAAACAAACACACGGATCGCCACCACTCGGAGAACAAGCGACGCTTCTGTCCCAAGTTCACGTTAACGTCCATTGACACTTTGTTACAGATTACCAAAACAGTTGCAAGAGTTGTGGGCTGGGCTGCTCTCACCAGCAGTTGAAAATTTATTTTTAAGCCAACCCATTGGTCAACTTGGGTAAACATTCATTGGAGGGAATAACAATAATGACAGGTGAAGGAGTTATGACGATCCGTCCACAGCATAAGAGGCCAATTCAAAATTTTTGACAATGTGTCGGGCAATGAGTGATCACACCTGGCTGCCTGAGGCAGGTATAATTGGTAGTGTGTTGATATTGTTGGACAGGTAAGCCATTTTACACAATTAAATTGTATGGGGAAAACGCAAGGGAGGAAATGGAGTGTGGCCGTTTGTACAGGTGGCCGTCATGGCAGGCTCGACTGTATCACCTCAAAGAAGAATAAAAACCAACAAGGTTGATTCATAAAGCAAAACTGTAAAACGACCAATATTTGACAAATTTATTTCTCATGCGGCTTACCTTTGCTGTCTGAGTAACAAGTAAGGCCTGGATTTCTTCATTGAGCTTTTTCTCCTCCCGTTCTTTAGTCGACTGCATAGACAGCAAACTCTAAAGACAAGAAAAATATTCAGTCAAAATGGTCCCCGGGGACGCACAGCAGATAATTTGTACAACCTTTGAATTTTTTTTTCCATTCAGTGATTTTACAGGAAGCTACTTGAACAAAAACGAACACCTTGCAAATTGAAAATTAAACAGCAGCAGTCTGACAGTGTGTTCCCTACTACATCTGCTTAATACTTGTAAGACCAAATGACATTCTGCAGCACACTGAACGCAACAACAGAATAAACTGAATATTTTCTTTTTTAACAAGATTTCAGACAATTTTGTAAATCAGTATGGTACTACAAAAGGTTTTGCGTGACATGCCTACAACGGGAAATACATCTAATAATCAGATAAACGTAAAAATGATGGATAACATTGCAAATACTTCAAGAACAAAATAAAGCACTTCTGAACAATGTTCTTTCAAGCAGTTACAATTTATCAAAAACAACAGTCACTTTTACCTCGATGTCCCCTGATTCTGGGGCTGTCGAGGTCTTTGTCTGTCTTGAGCTTGAATCATCTTCTTCCTCATCATCACTGCACATAAGCAAAAACAGAGAGAAACATGTTTTCAGAAAAGCATCTTGTGAAACAGTTGACAGCTTAAGACAGTTTTAGGACAATAACGATTTTTCCTATTCACAAAATCAAAGATATGATAGAACAGCTCCAAGTAGACACAACTGTCTCTGAAAATTGTATTACCATAAATATCTATTCAACTTCAACATTCACACCACTTGCACTCAACTGTACTTTCATTGGCTACTTCAAGTTTCAAAAACTATTCTAGATTCAGATAAGAATCAATATTTACTTGTTCTGAAGGTAATTATCTGTGAAAGTGGCATAAAAAAAAGGACAGTACTAACAAATTTTATTTTTTCATATATGGAATAATAATAATGAAATATACCAAAGTACTCCTTTAACTCTTAGCAGTTCATGCAGTACAATATCGTAATCGTATAAATTTATACGATGGCTGGTGATGTGATTTTTTGCCCATAAAATACATTTATTTTTATAAATAAAGATTTTGTAAGGTATTTTTTATCAAATAAAAATGACTAAATTGACAAAAATATATATATATATAACAGGTATTAAAATTGATCGCATTTATGTGCACAGTTGTCAGTCTAAACAAATCAACATGATGTAGTTCAAGAATTACAAGCTAAAAATTTATAGTTTTTGTTGTCTGTTTGTATCGTTCCATAGGTGATTAACAATAACCCAAGCCTGAGACAGTGTCTGCCACAACAGGAGTTGCACATGTCAAGGTCACGGGACCCCCAGGACCTCTGCCGCACTTTCTACCTGACCCAGCTCCAGGACTGCACCTCCCCAAGTCTGACTTGGAGAGAGACCAGGAGCTAAATTTGCCCAGGTGCATTCTGAGTCATTTGGTGTTGTCACGAAGTAAAATTTCAAGTTTCAAGAGTAATAACTGAGAATTTGTAGAATGCACAAGAACAGCCCTCATTTCTTTATTTTCCACCAAAATGAGGTCTCTTTGACATATTACATGCAGAATTGAAAGTACTTTCTCATCAAATTAATGTAAACTCTAAATTGTTAAACTTTTTTTTATTGTTGTGATTTGTGGGGGCGGTCGATTTGTTTCTGCATGTATTTTTAGTAACACGAAAAATATGTCACACCTTAAGAAAGCTTGATAAAAATGAAATCTATTGGCTAGGTCTGAAAGACCATCCAATTCCCCTTCCATAAGTATATGAAGTGTCTATCTGGAACAGATAGATTATTGCAGGAGGCTAGAGAGCAAAAAGTCATGATATGAAATTTCCAGATTCAAGGGCAATCACTAGGAATTGTAGGATGTACTAGAATGGCTCTCATTTCTCTATTTTCCAACAGAATTGTGTATCTTTGACACATAAAATGCAGAATTGAATGCACTTTTTCATGAAATCAATCACTTTTTTTCCTTTTTTGTGACTGTTGGAGAAGTGTGATTTCTGCTTTTGTTTCTACTTTTAATAACAAGTAAAATAGGTCATACTTCAAGCAGGGTGTCCAGCAATATCCTACCTTAAAAAATCCTACCACCTGATACAAAAATCCTACCAACATCCAACACACTAATTTAACGTTACGCAACAGGCTATAAATGAAATGTGGGTAGGACTTACCAAAAACATCATCAGAACTGACAGCATATCATGTACTACAGCCCTTGAGCCTTGATTATATCAATTCTTCCACTGTATTTCCATTACTTCCATGGTGCTCTGGTTCATTATCATTTATAGTTAAAAGTCAATTACTTCACAGTTCATTTTTAGAAACTATATACACTATTTACAGTTCTCTGTTCTTATTTACATAGCTTTCAGCTCTGCCTCCTTCTCATCTAAATGAGCACAGAGGTCGATCAACTCCTTTCGTTTCTCTTTTGCGTCTTTTCTCATGGCATTGCTTTTCACAATTAAGTCATGTGCCTGCTTGTTACTAGCTGCCCCTACCTTTTCATTCATGTCATCAGCAGTTCTAATCAACATGTCAATGTCCAACTCCATCTTTCTCTTCTTGCGTGTTAGTTCTTTTACTTCATCATGCTTTCTTTTCCTTTCTTTGCTCAATTCTGTTTCAGCTGCTGACTTTCTTTTCTGTTCTAGAGCTTCTTGATACTTATGCCAGGCTTTGCTACTGGAAGTCATAATTTCTTTGGAAATGTGAATTTGAGAGGCAGGTCTTCCATTGACATATCAGTCTTCTGGCAATTAGGGATTGTTCATGTAAATTTTCAACAGTTACTTCTTTGTTCACTGAGCAGAAGCCTCTCTCAACCTGTGAATTGCCATGACTCAAAATAAGGATTTTTTCAATAACTTTTTTCAGCAGTGGTTGTTCATTCAAGTTGCCATGAAGATTAAGAAACTCATCTAACCTCTCATTGGCAGAGAAAGAAATTGGTGCCAATCTTTCCCTTAAGGTCTCATACTGGTAGCAGGCTTCATCAACATCATCATCATCCACCCATCCTTGTTTGTTCATTTCTTTTATATCCTTGAAAAGCCCTGTTGCATCATCAGAACTCATAACTTGTGGGTTCAAACATGTAATTGACCTGGCCAGTGCATAATTCAATGGACTTTTCTTCAGGAGTTTTTCAATACAGCTCAGAACAAATTTCTGAAACTTCATCTTAAAAGTCATCACTTGAAGACTTGAAAGTTTTGCTTTTTCTTTCTCCAATACTTTTTCTGCCCTGTGTCCAACATCCATACTCTTGTGATTTTTAATTGGTCTGTTTTCAGGTCCTTAGGTTTGGGCATAGTGTCTGGCTTTGTCAAGGTTTAAAAAAATGAAGGATCCAAAATTAGACTGTAAAGTCTCTTGACAATGGAAAAAAGCTCTGTTGTCAAGAAAGGAGCCAGAGGTTCATTGGCTTGAAATTTTGTCCAAAATGGTCTGACAATCTTGGCTAAAAAAACCAAAAGATTCCAGTTCTGCCAACAACAACTTGTCGTCTGCATGCTCCACTACAGTCTTGTAACTTTTACAAGTTGGCTCACTGTAATTTCCCTTTTTTATACATGAAATGTACTTTTGAACATTTGGCAAAATGGTGATGGCTCTTTCAGCTGCTGGTAAATTTTCACGCCATCTGTGACCACAGAACTGCAGTGGGAGGATAGAGCTGTCGGTTGAGCTGCTGAAATACTCGCAGTCTTGAAAATAGCTGACACGTAACTCTAATCATCCACGCTAAACGCCCGCGTTTTAACAACGTTTGACTTCCATCACATCGAAAAAAAGAACGCGCCAAGGTTGTTCATTTTAAAAAATATTCCTTTCCCCTTAATTAGTACCTGTATTACGGCACGCACTTTAAGCCCAAGTGTCAAAACAATACCCCCCCCCCAACCCCCCCCCCCCCCGCCGTCCACACTGGTTAAGTCCCGAAAAACACCTCGACCAACGCGACCGGTGTGAATGAACTTTGTTGACCCCGACAACCGACGGTCCCCGACACACGCGCTACTCACCACACGTACAAGGTCATGTCATGTGATGCGAATGAGCGTTTGAAACTAGGTCGATTTTAGTTTAAATAACGTGCGTTAGTCATCTACTAGATCTAGATTCGGCATAGATGATTTAGAAAATAGCGTTCCAAGTTCCTGCAGATAAAAAGTCCAATGGTGTTTCCAAGCAAAAGAGATGGCAGAACTTTTTACAGTGGAAACCATATATAACAGGCCCGGTAATAACAGGGATCCAGTAATAACAGGGATGTTTAAAATCCCCGTTTTTTTCCTACTCTTTGTCTCTATTAAAAGTTATCGGCAATAACAGGGCCTCATCGGAGCCCAACCGGTTATAGCAGGGACAAAGGCTCGTTAACAATGTGTTAAAAGTAAGAGAGAGAGAGAGAGAGAGAGAGAGAGAGAGAGAGAGAGAGAGAGAGAGAGAGAGAGAGAGAGAGAGAGAGAGAGAGAGAGAGAGAGAGAGAGAGAGAGAGGGGACGACCGGTCGGCCTAGATCTAAGCCTACTTCTTTCATTATGTCACCAACGATATCAAGCACAAGAGAAAATGCCTTTCAACTGACAAAAAATACGAAATAATCCAGACTGTTGACAAAAAGCAAGCTCCACTGGCAGCGATTTGTCGTCAGTTTGACATTCCGCAAGGGTCGATTCACACCATTATCAATGATAGAGAGAAGACAGTGGCAGCATACTCCAATGGAAAGTTTGCTCTGGATCGAAAGAAGATGAGACTACCCGATGCAGATGCTGTGGACCAAGCTCTTCTGATGTGGTTTAAGGACGCAAGGAGAAAGTTGGTGCCAAAACCCCTGTTCGCGGGTACTTGTGGCTAGGGAAACTACCCATGAATAAGTACAGCAAGATTAGTCCACAATAAATGCTCATTTTCCTTGCATTTCGGATTTAACAGGGATCGGATATAACAGGACTTTTTCTCAACTCTCACCATCCCTGTTATATCAGGTTTCCACTGTATATTTTTTTTCTAAGAATCGGACGCAACGACAAAAAAATCAGGACACTGGCGATCGAAATCGGGAAAATCGGGATGGTTGAGATTTGGGGCAAAAAATCGGGATATCCCGATTAAATCGGGATGAGTGGCAGGTCTGGATCTAGATCCAGTAATATGATTCCTTTATCACAAAACACGTGTGGCAGCTGAGAGTCAGCTGAGACTTTCTTTCCACTCACAGAGACAATGGCGAACTTAGGCTAGTACCGCACAGACTAAGTATCGGTAGACGGGCAAAATAATTTTACTGAAATGCAGTGTCGATTCTTACAACAGTTTCATAGCAATTAATAAGTAATCGACCCTTTTAATATCGTAAACGATCCAACCCAGTGTCGAACGGAACATACTTACTTTCCTTTGTACATTTTTTCATTCGTTGTTATTTCGCATTTTACGGGTACATTGTTATACTTCTCGCTATTTCCGACCGCGATTGCTCTTCTGCGACCAAAATCCGACTAATCCGACCAGCATATAAAAATCCGACCAATTTCCGACTTTCCGACTTTGCTGGACACCCTGTCAAGACAGCTTGACAAATATAAAATCTATTGGCTAGGTCTGAAAGATCACCCAGTTCCCTTTCCATTGGTATAAATAATATGTCTATCTGGAGTAGACAGATTACTGCATGAGACTTGAGGGTACAGAGGACCCCTGAGACACAAATTAAAAAGCCAAAATAGACAAAACTGATGGGAGTTAAGACCAATGAAAAGTGTAAGCGATAGAATAACATTCTTTCTCTCACCTGTCACGCTTCCGTTTTCTGCTCTGCCCTGTCGTTACGGAAGATAGCTGTGAAAGTCAAGATTAGTTCGGTTAAGTACTGCACATACCATAAGTATCACACAAAGGCTTAGAGGTACACATTAAGAGATTTATGAAAAAAAAAGACAGTAGTAGGCCTACAATTACATTCTTAAAAAGACTTCCAATTTCCTGGAGACGGTCTAAAAATATTTTGAGAGAAAAAAATTAATTAATTCGTCAGGTGCCATTTGAACCAGTAATAATAATAATAATAATGTAGATCATTTCTATAGCGCCCACTCCTGTGTGAACACAGCTCTAGGCGCTACATAAATGCATGTACAAACAATATTCACACACACACACACACATTACACGCACATATGTGCACACACAAGCACGCCACACACACGCACACACACACACATCTACTTGCTTATCACAAGTGCACGCTTACACAAAGTTAAAAAATAAGTATATACAAATACCAAAAAAAATAATATTCACAATGCAATTAGCAAAATACATAAATGGATACATAGTCATTTACATCAGTGAGGTGAGTAAGGACCATAAACAAAGTTTTACCTTTCAAAATTCGGCACAAAAAGGATTTAGGCCTGGAGCTCATCACATGAACGCAGAAACAAACCCAAGGACCCTATATATTTTTATTTGTTCTTTCTCTCAGTAGACATTAGCTGACAATTCATGTCAGCATACAAAACACTTTAAACATTTGAATCATCACACAATGAGGTCTCATAAAGGCTTATTGCTGCTAATACAAATCAAAGTCCACAAACACACACACCAAAGTCTAACCAAATCAAATCAAATTAAAAGTAGCTAATCTTACCTTGCTCAAATCCAGTGAGTTTACAATCAGACTCCCATTGCCTTCTGATTTGATGATGCTGAGAATCAAATTTTAAAATGTCATTAGAAAGACATTGTAAGTATAATTCATAATTTCTGGTCAAGATGAAATGAGGAGTAAAATGAATTCACTGAGAAGAAAGCCTGTCTACTTTACCATCATTGAGCACCACACCCCACATAAGAAAAATTCAGGTCTGCATCATGTTGCAATACATCTGAGTATTGTTTTACACAAAATATGCCATAGCTGTGCACGAGCAAAAACCATTATATAGCTTTCTTGAAATCTATTTTATTATGGTATAACTTTAAATAACAGATTCTTCAAATGAGATCTTGCTGATGAGACATTTCTCCAGACATTCTCAACTTCACACAATTTTTACTTAAAACAATACCTGTCCTTTAGTGAGGGGGATTATCATGAAGCAAGCACAGTGAAATATATTTTAAAATTCCAAAACTGTCCCCAGCTTCTCATTCCATTAGTTAGAGAGCGCCTAGTTTAACAAAACACCCTATTCTGTTTATAGCATCAGATAGGGCCTTGGCACAAAACAGAAGCAGTTTCTCAGACCTGGATCTAGATTTATAACAAGCGTTCACGGTATGCCACATCATTTTAAGAAAAGAAGCTTCTGAGTAAAAGCACATTCAGACCAAATAGCCATGTCCCTCCATGCGTGTAACTGGCAGGGGACCTCGTGTTCATACCACACCATATGCCCATTGAAGTCACAAGACTGGTCTATTTTTTAAAATCATTTTTTCGGGAAGTGTAAACTAACGTCAAATTATATATATTCAGTATGTTTTCACAAAAAATTTCAACAAGGAGTATGAATATGATATCAGATTTAACCCTTTCAACAAAAAATATGTTTTCAAATATTAACATGGCTAAAATACAGGACTTGACAAGGAAATCTAGCTCTATACCGATTTGCATGCAAACAAAAAGGAATAAAAGATACTGAACTAATTTTTTTGTGACTCAGTATTGAAACACCTAAACATGTAAAAAGGTAGCTATTCAAAAAGAATTTTTCCTCAGCATTTAATATAATTAAACAAAGTATTGTAGTTTAAAAACTTCTCAGTTTGAGAGCCAATCATTACATCGCAGCACAGGTCTTCCAATTGTTTTACAGGCACACCTTAATATGTTTAGCTGAACAGCACAAAATCTGACACCATCCTTTGTAACAGAGGTCGCCCCCAGGGTAGAGTTTTGTCACCTTTTTTGTATATGATACAAACCAATAATTACAGAAATAAGAAAAAAAACAACACACTAAATAACATTTGCAGATAATTTGATTGTAAAAGTACTGATACGCCTCAATGAAAACAGAGGATCTTACATAAATATGTTTTTTAATGGTGCATTTCAACATTTCTAAAAGTGACTTCTCAAAGACTGTAATTCGATATTCAGAAGAGCATTAACATGAAATTTAATACATATGTATACTGTGTAGTCACTAATATCTGAGATACATGATATGACATACAAAACAAAAAAACAAAAAACAAGCAATATTATCATATATTGGATTTGAATACAACCTGATAAATTTCTGGGTTGCCAACTTGCACAGTAGCTGTTCCACTAGAGCCAAATCGACTTCTCGTTCCATCAGCCGAGAGGTGTGCTCCACAATCACCTAGTCAACAATTACAGCAAACTTTTACTTAAGTATCACAGTCTATGCCACAAAAGTGAATGCTCTTGGCTCAAGAGTGAACCAAAAAAAGATATGATTCTGGAAGAAGCAAGTGCTGGCAACAAAAAAGTCTTACTTCAAGAGGGAAAATTGTTCATATTTGTCAAGATTTTTTGCAGATATAAGTTGTCTTATGGATCTTTTTTTTTTTTTTATTTGAACATTCATCATTCTCACTGCACCCACTTTTTTTCAAAGCACCCTGGACATAATATTATTCTCGGTTTTTTAAAATCCAGGAAGCATGCATGCTTGCACACAAAAATGTATACTACACATATTTGGGATACTAAGAAAGTTAAGAAATAAAGAGAAGGAAAAATACCGTCCCCTCCCCTTACAAACAGCTGAAAGTATCTAACCTTAGAATCTGAAGGAATGTCAAGACTGATGTCACATAACACCATCAACAACTTTTTCTCAACTTCTGGGTCAACTTTGACTGGTTCCTTCAATGGCTCTGGCTTCATGGGAACTGGACTCGAACTGGCTGGTGTCGACTTGATCAAACTCTTCCCACCAATCGGCATAAATTGCTCTGAACCGCAAAGGAAAACCATTATTTAGAACAATAAAAGTGACATTAACGGTAATACATTATAATAATGTTAACAAAAACAAAAGAACATTTGAATAACTAGTATTTCCAACCACAAGTGTCCAAGCCCTTTACACTGTTTCAAACCATATCTTTGCACAGAAAATCACTGCTTTTACACAAACAAATGACACAAAACTGAAACATTGTCATGATTACACACTTTCATGATTACTTCATGTCACACACACACACATACATGTGCTGCTGAAACCATTGTAAATCAATAAAATTTCAAACCTAATCGCAAAACATCAAATTAAGGGGTAAAATAAAAAGGGGGGG